TCAATTAAAGAGTTTATGCAAATGAAAGTACAAATAATAGGCCAGTTAAAAATATTTTTATTTTATTTTATTTTTTAATTAGGGGTTGAGTTTTAGCTCTGTGGCAAAGGGCCTGCCTAGCACATGCAAGGCTCTGAGTTCAGTCCTTGGCCCTGAAAAAAAAAATATTTCAGGATGTTTGTTGATTCTAAAAGCCTATACTGAAAGGTGATTATATCTGGCCTAATCTATATACTCTAAAGCAAGGTAAACAATATAAAACCAGGAATTTAAACGTACATGTTTACATAACTGTGGCTGGTTATTTTCTGTGCCATAAAGCCTTCTTTTGTCTATCTTCTGATTTCACTTCTAAATGGGGCTCTTCTGACAAATGCTAATATTTACTAAAATTTCTTATAATAGCTAGAGAAAGGAATAGCCTAAAAAAACAGAAATAAAAAAGCAATAATAATAATAATTTTTGTTTGTTTTCCAATTAGGAATTTAAATTAAGCTTAGTCTTTAGGTGAATCTTTGCTTCTTTTTATTTTATCTGATTTTATTTTATTTTTGTGTGTGTGCTACTGGGGATTGAACTGGGCCTTGTGCATACTTGGTAAGCACTCTACCCACTAATTTCATCTCCAGATCTTTTTATTTTATTTTAAAACAAGGTCTCTCTAAAGTTCCCAGGCTGGCCTGAAACTTGCCATCCCCCTGCCTCAACCTCCAAAGTAGCTAGGATTACAGGTGTGCTCCATTGCACCCAGCTATTGATCTCTAGGAAATACTTCTACTTACCCCAAAGTGCAACAAATCACTTGGAGAAACGCTAAATGTCACCAGGTTCAGTGCATGCAAGCATCTCAAAGGTTCATCCACAAATTCATCACTCAACATAAATGAACAAGTCCTCAGGAAAGAAATGTAAAAGAAATAAAAATTCACATTGTACATTATTTCATACTTCACAGTTGTAACTGATCGTCAATGGTTTCCAAAACCACTAATATGTTCTACACTTTTTTCAGTGAACACCCCGTTCTTTACATCTGAAATGGTTTTGTCCACACTTCTGGCAAACTCCTTTGCTATATCTTAGACTCAGTCTGCTATGTGAAGTGTTCCTTGATTATGGGTATTGTTCTGTTCCCAAGATAAACAGGTGTTTTATTCTTTGGGGCTACCTTAGAACTTTATCAATTTTGATACTATATCTTTACCACTTGAAAAGTAAATTATTTCTTTATGTGCCATTCCCTTATACTCCTGGATTGAAAGGGAAA